TGATCAGGTCTGCCAAAGCAGCATCTTTTGTCTGGGATTTTGAATCAAGGATAACTGTATTAATGCCAAATAACCTCCAGGGCATGTAACTTGTTTGAGATCACTATTTACATCCTTATACAGCTGCTGTGTGTTCTGCTGATAAGTGCCTCTGGCTGTATTAATACAATTGGCATTCTCTTATATATGACCTGTATAAGTGCGTGAATACGCAAATTTCTTTTCTCCAGATATTAAGTGATCAAATTCTGTTGTTTTTATTCCAGGTTTATGAGCAGTCTCAGGGTACTCTAAAGATTCCAGAGGCTATATTACATGGTTCAGATCTGATGGTTATGGGATTTCCGCAATGCGCCAATGCCTATTATCTGTTGATGCAACTTGATAAGGATTTCAGGCCTGTTTTTCATTTGCTTGAAACACAGTCTGACGCAAGCAATAAGTTTAATGCAAATATAGATGCCAAAGAAGCCATGAGGGTAAACAAGATTGATGTTGGGCAGATGGAAAAAATAAAATATGAGAAGAATTCAAATCCTTTTGATGCCAAACTGCATTCCCTACAAAGTATAGAGAACTGTGATGACATGATGGACAATCAACTTCTCATTCAGAATAGTGTTGATCCTCTTTCGCTGCTGCCTGCTTGTTCACCATCGTTTTCATCTATTGTTGATGAGACCTTCGAATGTGAACATGGTTCTAGTTTGCCTTCTGCTTCTCCTGTGCGCTCTCTTTCACTTGGTCCTCAAGGCGGAAGCACCAGAACTATTTCACACATGCAGGATGGGGCCTTGTCTCATGCCCAAGCTAATAATACCTCAATAGTTCGTCCTGGTGTCGGTGTGAACAGCTATTTCCCAACTAGTTTGAGCCATTTACAGAGTACAAACGCCTTTTCGTCCTCTAACCCTGTAAGAAATTCATCTGCTATCAAGTTGTCAAACTCTAAATCTAATCATGACCTGAGTTCATTGAGCTCTCCAAGTGAGCATGGTATTGCAGATGGAAATAAACCATTTCAACTTGCCCCTTCAAGCACGTTGCCTGCTCATTTGGTTCGATCTTCACCTGCCATTGAAGGTATTTATGCAAAGGTTTTTTTTTTGGCTAGATCACCTAGGAGGAACTAGGTTACTTTCATCAATAGGGGAAATAAGCACCCAAATTAGAGTTGAAGAGGACTGAAACCTGGGTGATGGGGGTGTACTAGTAGTCTAGTACCATGGTTAAAAAAGCGCTAGGCGTTCTTCCTTTGCTAAAAGGTAATTTAATTTAGCGGCTCTTTCTAAAAGGCGTAAATGCAAATAAAAAACATCCCTGGATAAGCTTCACGGCCTTTTGCCACTGCCTTGCACTTTTCTGACCAAAGCGTACGCTTATGCGCAATTAAGCGCTAGGCGTGCCTTTTTAACTATGACTAGTACTCCCTAAGTAAAGAAGTATAAGAGCATTTAGATCACTAGGAGGGGGTACTACCCAGTACCCACACTTCCCACCAGCTGATCTAGGCTCAGTTCCTGTATTTACGAATTTTTTGTCTGTTAAATTAGATAAGGTTGCATTACCATTACAAATGTGTTTACCTTACTTGTGCAATTGACAGGATTAGGGAAGGCCATCACCGTAGGCGCTGATTGTGCACCTAGAAAGCGCTCTCTTTCAGATTTCCTGCTAGATCTCCCTTCACTGCAAGGACTGAAATCCAGTGAGCCAAGTAAGCGAAGAAAAATATCAGAATCGGTGCAGAGTTCCCTTCCTTTGCAGGCATACTCTTCTAGTTCACAATCAGGAACCAGCCTCACCCATGGAAATAATATTCTTGCCGAAAGAAATAATTGTGTTCCAGCAACTGTGTATGCTTCAGTGCTACTACATGTAATACGGCACTGTTCGCTATGCATCAAGCATGCTCAACTAACTGCCCAGATGTATTCTAGCGCCATTCCATATGTCGAAGAAGTGGGCATGCGATCACCATCCTCGAATATTTGGTTCAGGTTACCGTTTGCTCAAGATGATTCTTGGAAACACATATGCTTACGCCTTGGGAAGGCTGGAAGCATGTCATGGGATGTTAGGATAAATGATCCACATTTCAAGGAACTTTGGGAGCTCAATGGAGGAAGCACCTCAACACCGTGGGGTGTTGGTGTACGCATAGCTAACACATCTGAGATGGATTCACATATCTCTTTTGACGCGGATGGTGTTGTTTTAACTTATAGCAGTGTTGAGGCAGATAGTGTTAAGAGGCTTGTGTCAGATTTACAACGGCTTGCCAATGCACGTGTATTTGCTCGTGGAATGAGGAGATTGATCGGTGTAAAACTTGATGATAAGCTAGATGATAACCATATATCTGTGGGGATGAAATCACAGTCTGTTAATAAAGGCAATAGTGATGCTGACAGGCTATCTGAACAGATGGGAAAGCCATTCAGGATTGAAGCTGTTGGCCTAATGAGCTTTTGGTTCAGCTATGGCCATATGCCAATGGTTCACTTTGTTGTCGAATGGGAAACTGCTAAGGAAGGTTGCACAATGCATGTTTCTCCTGACCAGCTTTGGCCACACACAAAGGTCCGTTCATGCTTACTCTATGTTTCGAAAGAGCATACTTGAGATGAGTACAAGCAAATGTTATGAATCTTTCAACACGTCAAAGTTTATAACTAGTGCTTTTTAACTCATCCTTACGCTATGTTTGGAAACGACATACTCCCTCGGTTCCTAAATATAAGCCTTTTTAGAGATTTCAATATGGACTACATACAAAGCAAAATGAGTGAATCTACACTCTAAAATATGTCTATACACATCCGTATGTAGTTCATATTGGAATCTTTAAAAGGGCTTATATTTAGAAACGGAGGGAGTACATGAGATGAATACAAGTAAATGATGTATAGATCTTTTAACATGTTAAAGTTTATACTCCCTATGATCCATATTACTTGTCGCTCAAACGGATGTATCTAGCATTGAAATACGTCTAGATACATCCGTTCGAGTGACAAGTAATATGGATCGGAGGGAGTACTAATATTTTTGTAACTCATATGTTTATAAGTAGTAGTAGTACTAATAAAATTACGTATGTATCAAGAAAAAATGGTCCGGCGGCCGTCTTGAAAACAAAACCAAGTTCCCACTTCCTAGTGCCTACATTTCTACATGTTTCTTGTAGTGCATCGTTTAGCCTCTTAGTTCCTAATGAATCAGAACACAACAACGTGATATTTTTCTGTCGTACTAAATTGCATTTCGTATTTCACAGGTTGACAACTCAATTCTCTATGAATTGTGTGCATTCTCCTTTTCAGTTCAATTTCCTGTTGAAAATAATTTCTTCTAGATTTCATCTTTCTTTGTCTTTTGGCAATTGTGTACAGGTGTAACTTATTATGAAAGTTTCAAGGATAGCAGTACTTAATTTATTTATTCGACATGTTCTTTCTGTACTGTCAAATGAGCTGTTCCAGTTGACCTCTAGGCATCGGCCATTCTGTTTCTTTAATTGATCTTGTTATCATGTTCATTAAATGCAGTTTTTGGAGGATTTCGTGAATGGTGGTGAGGTTGCATCCTTCTTGGATTGTATTCGGCTAACAGCAGGACCTTTACTTGCTCTTGGGGGTGCAATTCGTCCTGCACGGATGCCTGTAACAGTTTCGACTGGGTACAGCTCAATGCCAAAGCAAACTAATAATGTCACCTCCCAGGGGCCAGTAGCAAATGGTTCATCTGCAACAACTATGCATCATGCATCTGCCCCATCAAATGCTACGGCACATTTGGGTGGTCATACTCTTCATACTGCTGCCATGCTCTCCGCTGCTGGACGGGGTGGACCTGGACTCGTTCCTAGTTCATTGCTGCCTTTTGATGTTTCCGTCGTGCTTCGGGGCCCATACTGGATACGCATTATATATCGCAAGAAGTTTTCTGTTGACATGCGTTGCTTCGCCGGGGATCAGGTTTGGCTACAGCCCGCAACCCCTCCTAAGGGTGGGCCTTCAGTTGGCGGGTCATTACCATGTCCACAATTTAGACCTTTCATAATGGAGCATGTTGCTCAAGGTCTAAATGCTCTTGAACCTGCTTTCATGAATGCTACACAGCCTGGTCCACACTTAAATACTAGTGCTGGAGCTCCACAATCTGTTCCTGTCGCAAACCGTTTAAATGCCACCCCTGGTGTTGCTATGTCCAGGCCAACTTCTAGTGTCGCCAACCATGTAGCAGCTAGTTTGAGTCGAGCAGGAAATGCCATGTTGTCTTCTTCAGGTCTTGCTTCAGGGATTGGTGGAGCCTCTGTGCGACTAACACCTGGAACTGGCCTTCCTGTTCATATGAAAGGAGAACTAAACACAGCCTTCATTGGGCTTGGGGATGATGGTGGCTACGGTGGTGGTTGGGTTCCGTTGGCAGCTCTCAAGAAGGTGTTAAGAGGGATTCTTAAGTACCTTGGAGTTCTATGGTTGTTTGCACAGTTGCCTGAACTTCTGAAAGAGATATTGGGGTCAATTTTGAAGGACAACGAAGGGGCTCTTTTGAATTTGGATCAAGAGCAGCCTGCACTGCGGTTCTATGTGGGGTAAGATTATTATTATGACGATGATGATAATAATAAAAATAAATAATAAAATAAAATAATGTATTGTTTCATTGAGAAACTGAAGTCTGTTATCAGATTCTCATTCCGTAAATCATTGTTGTTCGCTCTTCCATATGGAATATTAGCAATGGGAAATTTCTATGTGCAATCTAACATATTGAGTTTTCCTTTATTATCATTGGATAATAGTGCCCTTTCCTAGTTATATTCTGTTTATGCAGGATCTTAAAATATTACATTACATTACATGTATCATCCTTCTTAATTTCCCACCATGCATTAAATTGCTGATATGCTATTTTTTTTACGTCCAAATACTTTATATATTTACTGAATATAGGTATTGTACTGATGTATTATTTATTTTCTGCATCAACCCATAATTCTTTGAGAATAGGCTAGAATTACAAAGAAAACTGATCATTTACTGAAAATGCTTCTTTCTTTGCTTTCTTTTCAGTTTGAAGTTTGACAATTTATATTTCTGATACATTATTTTCCGTCGTCTTCTTGTAGAGGTTATGTATTTGCAGTTAGCGTCCATCGGGTTCAACTGCTTCTACAAGTTCTGAGTGTTAAGCGGTTTCACCACCAGCAACAGCAACAGCAAGCTCAGAGCAATGCTCAGGAGGAGCTGACATCTGCCGAGATCAACGAGATATGTGATTATTTCAGCAGGCGTGTTGCCTCTGAACCATATGATGCTTCAAGAGTTGCTTCTTTTATCACTTTGCTTACATTACCTATATCGGTGCTGAGAGAATTTTTGAAGCTGATTACTTGGAAGAAAGGGTTTTCCCAGGCTCATGGCGACATTGCAACTGCTCAGAGGGCTCGCATTGAGCTTTGTTTGGAAAATCACTCAGGATCAGCTTCAGATGATAGAACAGAAAGCTCTTTAGCTAAGAGCAATATTCATCATGACAGAGCCCACAGTTCAGTAGAGTTTGCTCTCACGTTTGTACTTGACCATGCGCTCATTCCTCACATGAACGTAGCTGGTGGAGCTGCCTGGCTTCCGTATTGTGTGTCCGTGAGACTGAGGTATTCTTTTGGAGACAACAGCCATATATCGTTCCTTGCAATAAATGGGAGCCATGGTGGGAGAGCTTGCTGGCTGCAGTCTGAAGATTGGGAGAGATGTAAGCAGAAGGTGGCGAGGGCAGTGGAGACTGTGAATGGGACCCCTGCTGTTGCAGAACCCGGCCAAGGAAGGCTGCGAATGGTTGCTGAGATGATACAAAAGCAACTCCAACTTTGTCTACAGCAGCTGAGAGACGGACCACTTTCGGCTGGCTCAACTGCTTCATGAGATAACAAATTAGCAATTTAGAGCCAGGTTAGGTAAATTTTGTTGTAATTCCCTGGAGATGGCTGTGTTGACATTTGGCATTGGACAGCAGAATGCTGGAGCCCCAAAGAAAAGAAAAGAAATGCAAGCATGTCTATTGGCGGTTCGTGCCAGGGACAGCGGCTCTGAGGCGACAGCTTGCTGATTTATATGGCAATTTTGTACAGCAAAAGCATGTTGTGGGGGTTGTTGTTCACAAGCTGTCTCTGGCGCTGTCAGTTTAGTAGACAAGGATGGGTTCGGTTTAGGAGGCGTGGTGTACATTACATATGGTATTCTTACATGGACTGACATTCTGTTTGCTGTAAATCTAAGAGACTTCTCTAATTGTGTCTAGGATTCCCCAGGGGGTTTGTGTTTGGAATGTTACATGTAGCAAATGAAGTTGTCTGAACCCCCCTTATGATTCTTCTTTTGCTAGTGTGCCGTTTAACAGTGCGTGTTCACCACTAATATGACTGGCACATAATTTGGTAGATGTACAATTTTTCTGTATTACTTGTCTGCTAGCTACCTCATGCCTGTGGGATGGGTTGCCAGTAAAATAGATATACCAGAGCCTCGAATTGGACCAACTCCCAAAGCTTCGAGTTGGGACTTTTGTTTTCCCGTGTTCAAAATGGTCCGCACGCGTGTCCGTTTGGATCTGAATGGACGAAAACACCAGCCCATCCCCTTGACCCAAACCCAAAACACGTCCATTTGGTGTTTGTCTGGATGCATTTTCAGGTCATATTTATGCCTGGTTTGTGTCGAGACGGATGTGCTGAGTGTCTCTTTGGTGTTCGCCGTGGCCCTACTTGTCGGCCGCCTAACCACCACCCATGATCGTAGTCTATGTGGCCACCTAACTCGTATGACTGTGTGGAAGCATCTGGGTCCTTGTCCTTTTTAATGCAAGCATGCGGGGGTCCAGCCTCATCCACTTCTCCGTGTCCGGTTTGTGTCGAGACGGATGTGCCGAGTGTCTCTTTGGTGTTCGCCGTGGCCCCACTTGTCGGCCGCCCAACCACCACCCATGGTCGTAGTCTATGTGGCCACCTAACTCGTATGACA